TGGGTGCAGCACAGAAAATTTTGGGAATGGAGATTTTCAGGGATAGAAGTCAGAAAAAGCTTTTCTTATCGCAGAAGAGCTATATTGAGAAGGTACTATCCAGATTTGGCATGTCTACAGCAAAACCCTTGAATACTCCGAGTGCAGCGAATGCTCAACTATCAGTTACACTTGCACCACAGTCAGAAGCTGAGATGGAGTATATGGCTAAGGTTCCCTATTCTAGTGCAGTGGGTAGTTTGATGTATGCCATGGTCTGCACTAGACCTGATCTGGCACATGCAGTCAGTGTTGTTAGCAGATTTATGGCTAATCCTGGGAAGGAGCACTGGCTGGCCGTGAAGCGAATTTTTCGGTACTTGAGGGGTACATCTGATGTTGGTCTCATCTATGGAGGTGATACAGAGTGTTTGGTTACAGGCTATTCAGATTCTGATTATGCTGGAGATGTTGATAGTAGGAGGTCGATGACTGGTTATGTTTTCACTCTTGGGCATTCTGTAGTTAGTTGGAAAGCAACTCTACAACCTACAGTGACTCTGTCCACTACTGAGGCAGAGTATATGGCACTGACGGAGGCTGCTAAAGAGGGAATTTGGTTAAAGGGGCTAGTTGGAGATCTTGGCCTACATCAGGATCAGGCTAATATATATTGTGATAGTCTCAGTGCAATATGTCTAGCCAAGGATCAAGTTCATCATGAGAGGACTAAACACATTGATGTTCGATATCACTTCTTGAGATCTGAGACAAGGATCAAGGTGAAGAAAATTGGCACTGCTGACAATCCTGCTGATATGTTCACCAAGCCGGTCCCTCATAGCAAATTCAAACATTGTTTGGATTTGCTAAATGTCCTAAGTTTCTGATGGCCCTTATGGGCATTCTGATGGTACTTGAAGATAATCCTCTGAGTACTTTTGGCACTTCATTAGTGCGTCTGTTACATTTTTCGGGGAAGATTCAAGTCAAGGTGGAGATTGTTGAGATGCCTTGAATTAGATCTTCAACCCCCGCTGAGCTGTACGGGGGTCTCGCTTATATTAGTTTGTAAATTATTCCGATTACAACCCTAATAAAATCTGATTTCCCCCAAGTTGTTCTTATCCATTCTTGTTTGTTCTTCTGTTCCGCTGCATCTGTTATAACACAAATAATGATCTTAAGGTTTAGGATCTTGTCTCGGGCAATTCTAGGAAAAGATTCTATTTCTACCACTATATACACAGAAAAGCACGTAAAAGTATTGTATTGGAGTTTATTAAGAGCCCACATTGATAACAAAAATTGTCCAATAAGATGTTATTCCCGAGATTCTTAAAAATTTTATCGTTATTTTCCCGTGAATATTTTGTTTTTCTACGTGGAGTAGTTGGTCCACGAGTAGATGAAAGGACAGTACCAATCCCTCAATTTTTACCATCCAGCTAATCAGGAAAATAAAACCTGTAATGTGTAGGCAATGATCGATAATCAAAACAAGTGCTGATCAAGGAGCTGTGATAATTGTGCCAAACTCTTGTGATAATGCTGAGGATTTGGAAATGGTTTTAACTGAGGATACTGGTGGAAGAGTTACTCAAACTCAACTCAATGATCAGTATATGGCGAGTGTTGAAATGAACTCACATCAACAAATGATTAATGCAGTTCAGCAAAAAGCAAGTGTTTTGCAGGCAGATGGTCTGGACGTCTCAACAAGTCCACAAAATCAAGCACAGGAAGTCTCACTCAAAATCACAAGGATGAGCAAGTAGTTTCTCAAACTCGAATTGATGGAGTGACAAAGGTATCTGAACCAATGAAATCTCAACAAAAATAAAGAAATTGAAAGACCGCATTTTAGAGATGTTTTTGATGAAATTAAATGGGAAAAGTTGCGCAGCAGAGTCAGTTATATCCCACCTTGGCAACTAGATGATATTAGTGAAGAAGATATCGACAGAGATCAAGACATTGATGAAAATCAATTCATCCCAAGAAACAAAAGAAGTATTCAAAAACTGGCAAAACAATGCAAACACGACAAGATTTCAAGTCAAAAACTCAAGCACCTTCACGGTACTATGAATGTAGAGCATGTTAATTTCATTTAAAAGTTTGTGAAATTTTCTGTTTTGCAAAGGATTTATCACACTGTCTAGGATTATCTTTAGAAGGGAGTAATTACTCCTCATTTAGGCATTGTTTTCCCATGGACTGGTGTGTATACTCCATATGTATTTTCTTTTCTATGTAATATAATAAGGGGCTGGCGACCCTACCCTCTGTTGTAGAAAAAAAAATGGAAAATAAAACCTGTAAAAATAATCTTCTGTGTATATAAATCGAGACAGATTTAAGTACTCCATATTTAAGTACTCCTGACAGGAGTACGTAAATTTAAACGATCATTCGCGAACATGGGTCTAATTGTTATTTCACAAAATTTAGGCTTAGTATTGTATTCCTGCGATTGTTCCTTAATAATTAATAAAATCGATAGGCAGATTGTATCAATTATGTGAGAGAAAAAGCCTTGATTCGAACGTCTCTAACTTGTTCATGAATAGTTTGTTTATGTTAAACGAGTTGAGTTTGAACTTGACTTAAATTAGGATTTTGTTTAACAAGTCAAACACGAACACAAATATGGAACTCGAGTATTATTGAATGAACACGAGTCTTGTTTGAATAACTTAATGAACAGATTTCAAATATGAGATATTCAACTCGATTCGACTCATTTACTGATCTAGAAGCCAATCAAAAAGCAAATCAGATCTAATAAATTAATGGATTTTTCTAATAAGTATTCAATGAACACTCGTGAACATACTTAAATCACATCAAATCTAGCATATAAATGCCCATATTCATAATTATTACCAACTCCTACAGTTATTCAATTTTTTTTTAATTATAATTATTATCTTTTCTTGCATGTATACACTTGTCCTAATCAACTTTACTTTTTCTAAATTTTAACACCCGAACAATATATTAGTGATACCCTACCGGCACCCGTCACACTGTCCCTAAATTAATAGAAGTCCGCCAGAGGCCACAGGCATTATCCGCTTGATGCGTCACTACTGGAAGGAAAGGCCCAGAATGGGCAGCCACACTATAATTACAATGCGGTATTAGGTCATTTTAGTTTTCTTACTGGAACATCTTGAGAAAGTGGCAGTAAAGCCCCCCGCCAATCTACAAAAATTATCACATTCTGGTAACAGAATGTGTTGTCTTTATTTTCATATTAATTAATTCATTACTCACCCTACCTCTTACGGAAAAGACACCTTTTTTTTTTTTTTTTTTTTTGGGAAAAATTTTATTTTTTATTTGAAGCCTGAGAGGTGAAGTTTGCCGATAAACTTCAATTGAATGGCTCAAAAAGACTATATATTGAAGTTGATATTTGACAAAAAAAAAAAAAAAAAAAAGAATGGCTCAAAAAGAAACCTGGTAGAACACCATGTTAATGAGATAGTCTGGATATCCTTCCGTTCGAGTTTGCAGAAACGACAACATGATAGATTGATTGATTGGCATTTAAACAGCAAATTTTCCCAAAAGTAGCAAGAATCTTTAAGTTGTCTGCTAAAGTGTCTCAACTTAGATTGGGTACATGCACCTATAGCCAAACTCATTGGTTACTGTAAAGTTCAGTATGTAAAAGATAGATACCATTGAAAGAAATATTGATATTGTCAGACAACAGCTTTTATCCAATAATGTACACATTACGTGAGCGGGCTGAGGAGTTGCAATCGGACAAATTGTTCCTTGCATGTGGCATTATGCAATTGAAAGCACATAGCAGCATAATCAAAGGTAAATTGACAGTTTACAGTAGAAAATTTATTCTGCAGATAAGTATGCAACACAAATAACATAGTAAAATAGATATCGGCTCAATACACTCTTAGCTGCTCCAACAAATATTACTAACTAAGAAAAAAAAAACCAAAAAAAAAGAGGCTTCCTTGTGAATGATTCAGTTATTAACTGCTGTTTTTGCTTAATGGACATCGTAGAGTATGTGGAACATTCAGGAATTAAGTTGAATTGGACAACTTTTCAACAATTAAAGAAAAAGCAGCATCAATAATTAAGTATAGTGCATTCTTTTTGGAAAGAGAGTTGGCTAAGCTTGGATGTGACCTTTTGATGCAAATTCTTCATCACAAAAAGTGCTTTGGGTTTTGATGACAAAACAATTTGGCACCACGCCATAATTATGTAAAAGATAGGGTGTCACTTTAAATGTGTTAAACGTTGATGGTTCAAATATATTTAATTTGAATTTGTATCAATGCGATTATTTGTGAGACAGAACTTTGAATGAGTTATATAATATTTTTTATGTTTTAATACGTTAGAAATTTAGACTTTATGTTTGTTGTGTTAATATGCACATTGTATGCTACAATTGAAATTGGCAATTGCAAAAGCTTCAGATTTGCAACTGTGAATGTAAAAGAGCTTTTCGTTCATTTTTTTTCCTCAAACAAACTTGAGATAGTATATGTAACTGTAAATTCAAGATTGAAATACTCCAATTATGGTTTTATTTTGTGTCCTCATGAATCCGGTGTGATCAACACCCATGGCAATATTTTGTTTTGGTGATTTAATCTCTAGTCACTATCACAAATCAGGATATACCTTGGGACCATAAGTTACTTATAATTACACTTTGTCAAAATGCCCATCAATTCATATTGACAGTAAATTTTGAACATACTATCTTTTCTGAGAAAGCAGTTGATACTTATCATAAGATGAGTCAACATGTATTCGTATACCCCTAACAACTATATATCAGACTGTGAGAATAGAAACAAACCCCGATGAACACTTTACAGCCAAGCCATATCAATGCCCATTGGAGAAGTACTAGAAGAAACATGTTCAAGGTTTTAGCTTCTTTGCTGCTGTTTCTGGTACTCTACTGCAGAACAACCGTGGAAGAATTGGACAGTAATTGTCCTCAGAGATCGTGTAATGGGACAACCGCAGCTGGCCCTCCTCCAACTCCTCCGTCCTGGTTGCCACGACTCCCCCAACAAGAGGGTAATGTGTGGAAGAGTGCTAAACAAAGTTCTTGGAATTTGTTGATTGACAAATGTTCTTTTTTACTTTTTCAAAGTCAATTTATTATAATGCATGTGTAAGAATTCAAAATTAAGTGAACTTAAGTAGAATGTCCTTCACCTAAAAATAAAAATAGTTGAATGCTCTTTTCCTAAAAAATTAAGCAGATTTTAAGTTTAATACTAAGATAACAGCTATTTGTTGTATAAATGAGCGTTAATTGAATTAAGCACACACCTTGCAAGAAGGGTTAACTTCATTTTGGCCCTAAAATTAACAAAAGAATTTCAGTTCAATCCCTCAAAACGAAAAACTTAAAATTTGACTCCAAACAAGAAATTTATTCACGTCAATCCAAGAATGAAAATTTGTTTAAATTTCCTCATTTTATCGAGAATTTGATAAGTGAAATTGCTAATTTGAATTGCCCTACAAATTTTATCTTCCCAGCTAAATTTGGAGGGCAAAATTTAAATTGTATTCACTTTTAAGTGATGTAGTGAAATCTGTTAGTAATTTTGTAACTTTTATACACACTAAATATATGGCATATGGAAATTTGCTTCCTGCTTGTGCAATAGCATTCAATATATAATAAAAAGCGCTCTTCCCTTTGCTTTTCAAATTAATTGCATGATGGCTATACGATTACTACTTGAATATAGTCTTGTGCATGTAGCATCAGTAGTTTGCGAAGATACAGCTTCAGATACTGGCATTTAAAGACGATCAGGTAAATTTCCAATAGTCTTATGCACGTAACATCAACAGTTTGGGGGAAAAAATAATTAAGGGTGAAAATACCACTACAAATGGCTATTGCAAGTTGCTTAGGGCTAATAAAGAAATAAATGTTGGTTTTCTACAGTGATGTAGACATTGAAGTGCATACTAATCAAGACTAAAAACCCTTTTATCCTTTAAACTCTATTTTACAGCGCTAAAGATTGACACTGTTGATTTTAGTTCACTTTTAATAGTTTTGATCCCCTTTGTATAATGCAAATTTGGGTTTGCATACTTAATAAGCGAAGATTTGTTATTTATTAAGTTGACGACTTCTAAACTTACATTTTAGTCCAAAGCTACAGGGAGTTAAAGGTAAGGTTCTAAACCATGTTGAGGTCAAATATAAGCAACAATTGCTTATTCCACTGTTTCTTAAAAACGTTACAAAGTGTCCATTTGATTAGTTCACTCTTTCGCCAGTGGATGCTGTAAACACTCTGCTTCATCTTGTGACTACAAGTCCGAGGTTTGTGAATAACTACTCCGTTTGACAAGTGAATTTTTCGAGTGTTTGTCTAAAATTTTACTGTAAAAGTTTTTAAAAAAATTTTTAAAATATGTAAATTTTTTAATACTTTGAAGTGTATAGTTTAAAAACTTTGAAGAGTTTTTTTGAAATTATTGTATCTAAAACTTTTAAAAAACTTGTAGCGGACAAACTGGGCAAAAAACTTACCCACCAAACAAGAACATTTCGGGTACTCACTGCTATTCAAGGACGTTTATGGAATGCAAATGCAAGAGCAGTACGAATACGTGCTGGGTGACTAAAATGTATGTTTTCTCTTACTCATATCTCTTTTATTCTTTGATCTGAGCTTTGATATTTCATAACAAATATTATAGGGTTTTTGGAAAATTTTCTTTTTGCAAGGCAGCGCTGTAGTTTTATTTTTTCTTTTTTTTTTCATTCATAGAAGTTTGACTAAAATAAAAGTTACAGGAAAATTAGCACCGCCCACAGTCCCCGCCCTATCAACCCCACAAAAATCCCGGCAGCTCTCCCATCCCATGGGATCTTCCTCCCTTATTGCCACCCTCCAGTCCTCCCAACGTAGTAGCCCCTTTCCCGTCTAGCTCCATCACCGCAGCCCTTTGCTCAGATAGATAACCCTGCCCTCCTTTCATACCCTCTCCTTCTCTCACTTTTCACGTCGCACTATTCTTGCCCTGTTTTACCACTTTCTATTCAATTTTTGTCAAAATTGATGCTGGAATCTGGCATGAATGCATGATTAACCAGAAAAAGGCCATGTATGGGTTCGGATAGGATCACTGGCCTAGCAAGTTGGGGGATTATTCAGTTCAAACTGGTTGATATAATTTTTACACACTTTGGCATAAAATTATACAAATCGAGTATAAATTTGAAATTTTCAATTCATATAACTTAGCTAATATAAAATTCATAATTATGCCAAAATTGTATGAATTTACATAAATTTATCAAAAATTACACGAACCAGTTTAATTGTGAGGCTCATGATCCGGTTCAGGTACGGCATGTCAGAGGTAATTGGTGAATATATCTATTCAAGTGCGTTGCACGCTGAGTTATAGAGTAAATTCTATGCGTCGTCTATCTCTGCGTTTTAGATTTTTTTTTTTCTGCAATACTGCCCTTACTATAGATTCTAATGACATCATTGTGCTTCCTAACATGAATACCTTTTCTTACTATTGCTGAGGCTAGTTATGTAACGTCAACACTGAAGATTTGGTTAAAAATATATTGTTTCCTTCAAACAAGGTCGGAGAAGAGTGTTAAAGTTTGTCTGTGTATCCAAAATCCGGACTGTTACAAAAAGTTTTCCTCTTAGTGATTATAAATATGATAGGTTTAAGTAAATTCAAAAATGCTAAGGTACCAACAAGAAAGAGGTTTGGAGGGGCCTAGGCCCTAATTTGAAAAAGGCTTTAAATTAAGAGAATCAATTTTAGTAGGCTATTTTGGATCTTTGAGTCGTTGAGCCTTTTCTAATATTTTGACTTCTCTTGCGATTTTAAGTATGATTAAATTTTATATACACTAATAGTGTATATACGATTACCACTAGATCCATAATATATATATACATATATATTGAATTTCAAATTCAAATTTTACATAGTTGCCATTTATCCAGTGCTGACAGTGTATACACTGTTAGAATAGGAAAAATTAATCCTTTAAGTATTTGTGTTTTTGGGCTTATGAATACTTTTCTATGTTTTTATACTCTTTTTTTAGAGTGATATTATGCTATTCTTCTACCCGTGGATTTAAATCAATTCAATGGCATTACGTAAATTTTAGTATTTATCTGTTTGATTTATTTGTTTTGTTATTGTCTTTATTGAGTTGCCAAAAGCCTTATTCTTATCTTTCGTCAATATCCTAAGGCTAGGCCGAACATAGAGTTATATGGTGCAATGCTTTAAGAAGTTGTTTCAATATATATATGTGTGCATGAGAATGTATGTATGTATATATATACACACACATATACATATATATACACACATACATATACATATACATATATATATATGGGTGTGTGTATACGCGTGTCTGCAAGTATATGAGTTGTAAGCATGTATATGGCATTAGGTTGATCCCTCATAGAATATTGATCAATTACTGACACTATTTGAAGTTCTTTATTATTTGGACTATTACAAGTCTGAAAAAGTAAATCCAAACTACAAACATGTAATAAAATGTAGTAAAAACTATAATATGAAGTTTTTAGGATTATGAAATTTCTAATTACTCTTACTAGTGATCTCCCTTAATTGATTGTTACTATATCGACTAGTTATGAGTTAATTTCCAAATGGGAAAAGTTACCCTTGTTTACTTATATCAAATGGTAAAAGTTAGTCATTAGCATGTTATAACCATTCGAGTGCAATATAAAAAATTATAATAGGTAGCATTAGTATTGATTACCTGTACTATTAATATTAGAACTTGTAAAATATATGGAATTAAGGTAGAGAAGTGTTAATATTAGCCCTCCCAATCATCCTTTTGCCTTGTTAATTAATCTTCATAAAGTAATTTATTGACAATTATTTCATAAAGTAACATGTGACGTGCATGCACGTACTCCCACACTAGTTCGACCAAAGAAATTCACAATCACGATAACACACATGGTGAGGTTGCAAGTTATTATCCTTCTTATTAGTTCTAGTTATTTTATTTTGACCTTCGTAATCAGTGAGATTCTAATAAATAATGTATCAACCACTGTTTTGCAGTGATCTCCATGATTACCAGTTAAGCGGTCCAATACCTAAGGAAATTGGAAATCTTGCTTATTTGAAATCACTGTAAGCAAGTGTAAATCACTTTCAATTGAGCATTATTTGTTGGTTAATATATGATTGATTCAATTATTATTCACCTACTACTTGGTACGTAATTGGTAATTGCTATGGCTTATTTACATAGAATTGTTATACTCCTCCATGAACCTATACTAAGTAGTAGGCATTTATTTTAGCAAAAGGTGAAGCATATGTAAACCTTCTTGTCAATATCAAATATTGTGAACCTCTTGTAAGTCACATCTATGGATTTTTTTTTTTTTAATTCTTGTTGGTTTTTTTTTTTCTTTTTGGCAAAACCAGTATGAGATATTTAGTCATAAAGGTACTCGCATAACAAAGAAATTAAGTGTCGACAGTTGGTGACTAACTTCTGCTGACTCTTCTATTCGCGTAGTATTTAGTGCTAACTGGCTTTTGGCCCCGTGCATTGCACGGCATCACAATTTTTTTCAATCAATCTAAAACTGTGATTATGTTATTTAAAATTAAATTAGTAGAAAATCTTTTGAAATCCTTACAATGAAATGTCATTTAAGGAAGCGCAATTTGAGATCTTAGTATGAATGTATAACTATTAATTTTCACCTTATGGTTTTAATCTTCTTGAAGCATAAGGTGTAGATCCAACTGCAGGTCAAGATTTCAAATATTTGAATCTACAGTAAAATCTAAAGAGTATGTAGTAACGCACCTCTTTGGTTTAGAGGTGGGACTACTGCCTCTAACCCTCGTTGGCTCAGTTGAGTGCTCCCCCAGATTGATTAGAGTAGAAGTAGTAATGTAAGAGTTAATGATTAACAAAAAATTTAATCTTCTAAATATTTAAACATTCTTTTCAAACCAATTAATCTTTAAAATGTATTGCACTACAATGAAGACGAAGGTCACAAAACTACTATTTAAACCAATGTTTGATTAACTTGAAAATATTTAACATTTGATAAATTATTTGTATCCAAGAAGCAAATTAAATTACACACAGTTTTGATAAGTTAGTTTAACTAAACTATTTTCTTTACCTAAAATCTAGCAGTTTAGACATTTGAATGAAACTAAGAAGTAACCAATTAGACAACATCATCAAATCTAGTTTGGCATAAATGCAATTAAAAAACTGAGAAAATAACATATGAATTGCTCATTGGAAGGCTCATAGAGGAAATGAATTGGAAAATAATATAGTAGTAGATTAAAATGACGTAAAGTGGTTTCCATTGGAAGGCTTAAAGAAGAAATGAATTGGGGAACTTCTATCAACAAAATGAATACTTTGTGTTGAAAAAGCACTTTTTTCTACCAGTTTTACTGAAAAACTTCGAAATGAGCAGACAAATGGAAGGGGACACACTACTGCATGTTGCATTCTGAAACTCTATTTAGGATGTCACCTAGCTGAATTTATGTCTCACACTCAAAGACCTTTATATTAGTGGTGATCATTGCATGCTTTGTACTGACGTGAGGGATGACTTGAATTTTGACTTAAAATCTTGTCGTGGAGTCTATGTTTTGGTAGCTTGTGAGTTATATTTCCATCTCTTGGCCAGTTGGCCTTCTTGAAAGAACGCTTAGAAATCACACAAATATTGGAAGACTGTTCTTGGTATTCAAATGGTATCTAATTTTGGTTGACACGTATTTGGTTGAATACTATAGCTATAGTAGTATGGTAGCTATAGTAGTATGATGAGGGATAATTGCCCATGTGTACAAGTTTGAATGTAGTAATGAAATAAAATTCTTATTATTTGCTTCAAAAAAAACTATTGTGTTTGCCTTTTATCCTACCAAGATTGTAAATTTTTTTAAAAAGGAAAGTGAATATTTTTTGAACGGATGCTATCTTTCCTAAATCTTTTGCCATTTCAACTGTCATTCTCTTAATACATTATGTTATATACTCGTGCAATTGCATGTGATTACTAGTGCTGTGATTACATGCAATTGCGCGTTGGAGGACAAAACTTGCAGAGTGGTTGAGATGTACGTTTTCTCCAACTGCATGTTTTAGTTTTTTTTTTTTTTCATGTAATTATTGGCATTTTGTTACTCTTAAGTTATGCGGCTTATCCTTATAATACATTTGTAAGTTGAACTAAAAGGTTAAATGACTTTTAAAATTTTATTCACTGCAAAAGACAACTGATATGCCTTGAGTGGATATGTAAGAACCGAGCTGCTGTATATAGCCTTAGCATGATGCACTCAAATAGGAGAACAGGCTATTTCAATTAATATTGATATGCTATCATTGCTTTTAGACTCTTGGATTTTAGGGATTTCTTTATCAAGGGGATTTCGTTTGCATTATACCAACATTTTGGATTTCAGTGATCTCTCAGGTCAGGATTTAACAGGTTCTATACCACCAGAAATTGGAAACCTATCTCATTTGGAATCACTGTAAGCAAGTGCAGAAGATTTTTTCAGCTTTCTTTGTCATTTAATCATGTTGATTGAAATCTGTTACCTGACGACTGATAATGATCACCATTTTCATACTCTAGATGTAATGTTCAATGAATCTATATTTGCTAGTACTCGTGTTCTCGATCTGTGTTATGTATCTATTTTTCATCCATTAAAATTTCCATTATAGGCAAATCGTTAATCTGAATATAGCATAACAATCAATTATCTGTCTAATAACAACACTTTCTTTGAAAATTACCAGAATACAGTGAACTGTAAAACGATTCACATACCATAGCAGTTGCACTCTGGAGAGTAACTTCATGGTGTCCTCCATCCTATGTAGTTTCAACTACATTCCTCTGACAAGTTTTCAACAGCTTAGGCACAAAAATACATGTAATATAGGTGTGTACATGGTATGTTTATTTATTTATACTTATCCTATTGACATGTGTTTCAATGCCTTTTCAAAAGTAACTTTCTAATCCAGGGGTAGTAACTTTTCCAGTAAGGGAAACAAACAGATGGAATCTAGGAGTCCTAGTGATATCCTGCTCACCTTAACATGTAAATCCTACCAAGGAGCAAATGCTCTGACTTTTCTTGCCTTCAAATTAGCAGAAAAGTGAAATTCCAATATCCAGGTTCCAAACGTAGTTCTCCAAGTGCTTGTCTTGGTGAGACACAGGTGTTCTTCCTTTTGCAGCAATTGGATCTAAGTGGATTTTTCGGACCTTAGATTTGTTTGGATAGAGGAAAAAATACAGATTCAGCAAAATGGTGATAATGTGGTGATAATGTATCTTCTATGATGTAGGGTGGGGAAGGATTTGATCCAAACAAAATTCTTCTTAAGTTTGTGGATGGAGACGGTGCAGTCATGTTCCGATAGCGCAGCTTTTGAAACATTGGTTTTGACTATGAAACACCAAGTCTTTTCTTGTTCAATTGGCTTTAAAGTTACTTCACCGACTAGCAAATCTAGTTGTGGCTGGAACACTGGGCTAATTACTCTCGGTTAATAGAAAACAATTTTCCTATTCATTTAAAATTCGGACTTTAAAATACTACCTTGTCTGTGTTTTGGAATTGCAAATGCTGCACTTTGGTATCCCTTGGAAAGCTATATATTTTCAGTACTAGTAAATGAATTATGCAGTAATTGGGTATAAAAACTGGTGGACTAACGAGGTTGTTGGATATCTCTAACTATATTATGCCTTTGGTTGGATAAATTAGTTACGTGATCAATGGTAGAAACGTAATATGTTGAGATCTTAATTATCAGTCACACGAGTCCTGTATACAATAGATTCACAGACTGTCTATTGCACCCTCCGGAAGTGTTATGGCTCCTTTGTGAGCAATCATATACATCATGTTAACAATGTTAATTCCCAACTCTTTGTGGAGTTAAGCTTTAACTTGCAGGTCAATATATGCTCTTTGACACTCAAATGCTCAAGCCATGTATGGAACTTGGAATCCTTTCTAAGAATCAACAAGAAAACCTTTAAATGACAGATTTTTAAGTTCAGTTACACATTATGACATTGTCCCTTTATGATAAAATGTACGATAAAAACCTTGAGCAAAATACAATGATGGTCAAGTCATTACAGTATATGTTCAGCTTCAGGATTTTTCTATAAGAATCAACAGGAAAGCTTTTAACAATCAGACTTCTTAGTTCGGTTAAACATTATGACATTGTCCCATTATGATAAAATCTACAGAAACCTTGAGTAAAATACCACGATGGTCCAGTTTTGTTGATCTCTAGGTGTATAATATCTTTTTTTTTGGTCTTTCTCTTATGTTTTAATTTTTGTTATCTTCTGTTGTTCCTAAATCTGGGCTCTTCTTATTGTCATTCTTCTCATGTTATTTGTTTATTGGAATGGATCTATTTATAGAAAGCAGCTTGATTGGAATTTGAATGATGCATACAGAGTGATTTTGTCGAATGTTCCTATAGCAGTGAAATCCATTTGTTATTTTGGCATTTGCAGAAACTTGAGTTCAAATAGTCTTGTGGGCTCAATTCCCAACACTTTTGTGAAGTTGTCTCAGCTTTCGGTACTGTAAGTAACTATATGAACTTCATTTCTGTTAAAACTACTCTGTCTGGAATTCTTTGATTGTCAAAATTACAATCCCTATCATTTTCTGTGGCTAAAGCTGATATGAAGTAAGAGAACAGTTAGTTAATTTTAACTGACTCTTAATTGCCAAAAAGTAACGATACAACAAAAGTAATCTGTACAATGTTCCCTCATATTGCCACTGAAGTGTTGGAAAATTCTAATGGGCTGTTTTGGTGGACAGCAAGTTATGTGATAACAAGTTGGAAGGACCGCTACCGAAGTTCCTTCCTGAACTGAAGTCATTACGAAGCTTGTAAGTCTGCAGATCACTGTGTACTGTATATTGTTATCTGATCATGTGACTTGTTGGTAAGATTTTGTAGTTTTGCATAAAGAAAGAAGGAAAAGCGTCAATGATGATGGAAATAAGTAACACTTGGCATGATTATTCTTTTAATGGGAAAATAGCAAAAAATTGCATACTCGTTCCTGTATTAATCCTTTTTTTAATTTCTATTAGTTTTCAAGAAGGTGCAGACAAGCTAAGGGGCATACCTCTTAATCAAGTAGATGATAATTAACTTCTGGTAGCTAATAATGAGGAGAATGCATTTTGAATAATAATAATAATAATAATATACAACAACTCTCTTCAATCAAGCTGATAAGTTAATAGACTAAATGGAATGTCAACATCGATTTGTTTACTATCAAATGTTAAGACTAGTGAAGAGTTTACTATCAAGATTTGTTTCCAAATGTAACTATTTTTGGTTAACAACAATATAAATTAGAATAAGCACCACCTAGTGATGCTACTTAGCATATCCAAGTATCAAAAAAAAAAAAATTTTGGCCATTTGTTTCGTTTGGGAATGTTTAGCATATAAGAATATCTTCTCAATTTGTGCATCTTAATATATTCTTGAAGATGATGATCTATGTAATTTCTCGTGCAATCACAGATATTTGTGCAATAATTTGTTTAATGAATCAATTCCGCCGGAAATCGGAGGTTGTCCAAAGCTTGAATACCTGTAAGTATCTTGTTCTTTGTTTGAAATCTGGGTCACTTGGGCAATTGGACTGATTCTGGGTGCTGATCTAGATTGGCTTCCATCTATTTTTTCCCACAAGAGTTTAAGAATAGATCAATCTACTTAATTTGGCGCAGTTAAGGTATGCGTGGAATGGAATGGATCTAGCTGACTGATTTTTTGGTCCTGGATCTGATTAATACGAAAAAAAAAGTGCATAAATAAACAATGTATGCATGATCATTATAATTGATTAAGAACTTGCACATTTCTTTACAAAAAAAAATTTCCTAGGACCCAAACAAGTGTCGGAATTTGTGTTCTTGCTTCACTTGTCATCTAATTTGTGCAATTTTTATTTTTAAATTCTTTTTTTTTTCCATGCAGGTCTTTATCTAATAATTCTTTGTCGGGGAAATTGCCAGATGAGTTGGGGCATGTTTCAACACTTCGAGGACTGTAAGGCATCCGTTTAGATTTTCTTGTTGTCATATATGCTTTATTTTGTTGGTTTATTCTGAGTGTCTTATGGAGTTGTAGGTATTTGGCTGATAATCAATTTTGGGGTCGGCTTCCTGAATCACTGGGAAGCCTAGCTCATCTTGAAGAGATGTAAGATCCTAAATGATTTTATTTTATTAATTACACTATTTATTTTAGCATGTGGATGAAAAGTAACCGATTGAAGGAAGTGAAACTCAACGAGAACAGTTAGATTTTGATTAAGGGAGTTGACAAGAACAGGATAAATTTAACATACTGTTGCTACTCATCAAGAAAGAGAAAAATTAATCTCTCAGCTTAGCTAGAAAAGCTAAAAGCAGTTAATAAATGGACTTGATAAACATAATTTACTACAAAATAGACTTTGATTAATAGCTTTTCTAGTCTAGGTATAATTGTGTTCTGTCCACCTTTATTTTTTTTTGTCTATTTCTTGTATTTAGGAAGACCAGATGCGCTAGTTCATTTTAGGTTTAATATCCCTTCAATTTCTTGCAATCTTGAAATTTCATCCCTTATTCGCTCCTGTAGATCCTAGAGTTTGGAAGCAATTGAAGTGTGAAGGAAAAGAAATTCAAGAGCAAAGTACAAAATGGAAAATAAAAAAAAAATCATGGAAACCAAGGCTCTAACTTTTGCCTTGGCATCATCAATGGTGCTTAATTCCATCTTTTTATTTTATTTTTGGAAATTGTATTTACAACTGCTAGCTGCTCTAGACATTTTTCTTTCTTCCGAATAAGAGGCATTCATATCTGACCTCCAGAGTTGAAGTGAAAGCATCTTAAACAATAAATAGAGCTTGGACGAGTACAAAACATAGAAAGGGGGGAAGAGGACGGAAATGCATATCTGAAGAGCATAATGTCAATAGGTTTCTTGAGAAACGAAATGTAAATCCCAAAGGGGGTTTTGCCATTTTCTAGAGTCTATACCATTGATCACAGTATAATAAGTGTTAAGAAACCATGAAGATGATGAGTTTTTCAAGGTCAGTAACAGGAGAAGAATAGAATCCTATGAGGAAAAGCTGCATATTATACACAGCTATTTTCATTTGCTGAAATTCTACTTTGAACTATCATTAGTTTTACACATTTAATACCTTTTAGTAACATAATAGTAAATTGTGGATTACAATTAGAAAATTTTTTTTGACAAGTAAGCAATTTTGCGGCTGCTTTTAGGCCAAAAAAAATAACTTGCTTGTCGAACGATACTAGTTTGAGAACATGTGCATGAAATGTGTGGTGTTATCTTTAAAATTGTATTCACAAATTATTTTCACCTATGATCTGCAGGCAGTAAACTGTCTACTAGGATTTTCAGATATTCATGAAATGCATAATGGTGCTCTTCAAACACACTTCATCATCTACCATAGCGCACAATAGTTGAGATGAACTTGAATTACAATGACTAAGTTTCATGTTCATCCTTTTCGCATTTTTCTTGCTAGCTAATGTGGGAAGGCAACCCTTCCGCTTGTGGCTGGGACATCAGGTTTGCCACATCCAGTGCAGTTGGATTTATGGTTTGATTAAATGTACCCTTTTGTGACACATTGGCCAAAAAAGGGCAATGTCATCCATACTGAGGGCAATGAGTATTAAAATGTTTTACAAATCAGCATTTTTTATTCAGAATCATAGACCACAATAGATGTATGCCCAATGAGTATTAAAAGGTTTTACAAATCAACCCTTCTGGTGATTTGTATGATTTAAGAGTGATAATGGAAATAGGAGTACTTCCATCATTATGTATTATGTATTATGTATCTGATATGATAATCTCATGAGGTAGTTAATGCTTGAGATTGCCGATGGCAAGTCAGGATTTGGGACTTTGTTTTGGAGAAACTACTTTGTCTAGAATGACAAATTAGATGTATGCCCAAATATTTATGAAAACAAGTAACATCTATTTTTAGCTTATCTTGTGTTAACTCATTCACAAGAAACAGTATTTATATATGTACCTTGCAACCCTCAGATTGGAATTTTCAGAAAGAATAAAAATGAATAGGGTATTTATGTGAGAGAGTGGAACGTCTGTTGATTTTTATAGCTTTGGAAAACATCAGCCAAGCCATTTCATTGTTTTGCCTTAGAGTCCAAGCCACCGGAGTTAACAGGAATCTTGGGGATACAGTACACATGAAAATAGTAGTCTAGATAAAACATATTCTCAGAGATGAAATATGACAGCCCGAACATCCTATATTAGAAATGTGGGCGCCAAAGAAAAATTCAGCCGCAACTTAAGATCTTGAATTTAATTCTTTTTGTTTGGATATTAAATGACATATAATTTCAGGTCTGTGATGAACAATCTTTTTGATGATCAGTTGCCTCAAAGCTTTCGGTACTTGAAAAAGTTGGAGTATTTGTAAGTGAAATTCCATGGCATATGTAGTCCCATCTTTCACTTAATGCAAAAAAAAAAAAAAAAAAAACACTTCTGTACAAGAGGCTCACCTTGGCCATTGTCTCTCTCTGTAGCAATATTTTAGGAAATGCTTTCAACAAGAGCATCCCCGGATATATTTTCGAGTGGCCCGAACTTGAAAAATTGTAAGCTTAAGTGAACTGCATGAACTAAATTTTTGGCCTACAATTGAGTTATTTATTTATTGTAATTCAAAATTGACTTTTTTTTTTTGGACAGGATACTGATGGGAAACAATTTTGAAGGGCATTTACCAAATAAAATATTAGGATTGCCAAAGATGGCTTACCTGTAAGTATTAAGGCCCATTAAACGTACTCATTCTTGATACCTTTTATTGGATATTGTAACAAGACGACGATGTTTGTTTTCTAAATTTATTTATGTATAGGGCCATAAATAACTTACCTGGAGGAAAGACAGATGTTTCGTTTCCCGATATTCACAATATGGTGTCTCTGTATTTCTTGTAAGTTTTGAAATGTCAATTAGTATTGGTGAATGTAATTCATTTCTTACAGATTTTCATTCATTTGTTCAGGACATTGAGGAATTGTTCACTCACTGGTCCAATTCCGGATTATATCTGGCGGTTCACAAACCTGTTTTACCTGTAAGTAATCTTGCTTTCTGTTTTCATGTCCGATGCTATGTGAGTATACATATGTGCGCATGTGATTCCAAGCTTGTGTAGATGGCTTTTTTTCTTAAAAAAAAATATTTATTATTTTTTTTGGCATCCTAAGATGCTGGGAATTCTGCAGGTCTTAGAAGTCTAGTTTGCTCCCCTTATGTACATATGCCCTACTCTCTTACTTAGTTTATGTTTATAATACTGTTGATCATGGACCATATTTTTTTTCCCTTCAATTCGTTTTGAATTTTTTGACAAAGAAAAGTGGTGCTAGGATTAAAATTTAAAGGCTATACTCAAGTTTGGCTAATTTTATCATCAAATACTACTTTCTAATCTGCCTTTTGTTTTCCAGTAAACGCTTCTGTAGGTGTGCTGGTTTTGATAAAAGATATTTATATTCTCATATTGGATTTTATCATGATAGGGACTTGAGTTTCAATAATTTGACGGGGAAAATTCCGCCAGACTTGAACCAGTCCCAGCCACAGTTCGTGTAAGAGATTTCTTGTCATCTTTCCTTCCCCACCTTGATCCTTCCTATGTCCATCTTTCTATTAATAGAGGCACAACTATAATGTTATATTTTTTCCATACCTTTAACTCATTTTGTTCTACGTCTTACAGTTCTTTGTTCATTTCCATGGATAATCCATTGGATCACATCAGATGTGATCCAATGGACACAACTTTAGTTACATTGTCTACTCGGATGTTCCATTTACTCCCCACATTTTAATCTTTCTACTGAATTTGCAGCATGGTGCATGACTATTTGTAAACCCAAGAGCTCGTCTATAGGAGGTGGAATACAGTAGTTGACTCTGTTTGCCCTTTAGCTGGAAGGGAAAAAAAAAATACTTGAGTTACAAACCCAATATTCTTCTCTGGTTCTTAATGTCAAATTAATGCCATAGCATGTGGAGTTGATAGATTATCCAGGCGGTGTGAAGACTTGTTTGAAGGCCAACTCATCCATGTATCACCTGAAAACATCTTACAGTTCGTATGTTAATTGTCATTTTCTAATTGTCATATATGTTAATTGTCATCCCCAAATTGGGTTGGTTTTTCATTAGAGGCAAGATTGAATTCGTGTCTTTCTTGCTTTGCACTTGCCTTGGCACATAGGTAACTGTACTTCTTGTTTTGGTATATCTAGACACAACTTGACCATGCATTCATTGAATTTCAGACTTGTTTTGAATGATAGATTGTACTACTTATCACCTTACTCCTCTTATTCACGAGTTCAGGGTTTCCTTGGCTATCATAGTAAGTTTTGAGAATTTTTTGGCATTTGGCTGTGTTTTGCAGCTTTCTCAGAAGTAACAAACTCAATGGCACAGTACCAGGATGGCTGACGAGTTTGAGTAACTCTGGCTCATATGTGTAAGTGTTCATTTGGTGAATTCAGATTTTTCACCTAATTAAACATTAAGAGGATGGCATTCATTTGAGGGAGGTGTTATACACAAACCGAAATTTCTTTTAAGTTCAAATGTCTTCATAAGGGTTGTTTTCACATTAGCAACTTGCGTGAAGAAGATTAATGCTAGCTGTCTTTTTGGTTGACATGTTTACAAATTAGAACAGATCATTTTTGCCTTATTTCTTCCTTTGTTAATCGTTTTTCTGTTATCTTTGATCACTTGCAAACATTAGAATGCCTTAATGAAGCTAAAGTAAAAAAAATTTCACTGTAGATTTACATATTGATTTTGAATTGCTTTCCTGAGTGCCGTATTCAGGAACCTAGAATTTTTAAAATACTTATTTTCCAATGGATAAATGTGTGTAGAAGCACAATACTGTTTAAGAAGATATAATGCTTTGGCTTCCCTCCCCACTCCTGGGCAACAAGATAACATATCAGCGTCAACCAGTCGAGCGAAACTGAATCCAGATTAAATGTTCAATGTTCCTTTTTCCCATCGCCCCAACTCCCTTTAGTTTTCTCGCACTGACTCCTGATTAGTTGTTGCATTTTCCCTGGTGATTCCTTCTGTTCAATGCTCCTTTCTCCCATCGCACCGACTCTGATTAAATGTTGCATTTAGTTCTGTTTGTAGAACTAAATTGTTAGTAGTCAAATAACAAACAAGTCATGCAGTAGATGCTTTCTATGATGATGGGACAAATCCCATTGTCCTTGTATTGAAGTATAGGCTGAAACAAACAGGAATGAGGCATCCTAACTAGACAGGTCTGGTTTGTGATATTTCGTTGATTTCATGGCTTATGCACATATGGAAATGCACTCATTGTTTATTTATTTATTTATCTTTTTTTTTCTTTTAAAGATCAGCTCACATTTTGTTAAGGTTTCTTACAGAAGCCCTTACCTATAGTAGATGGAATGCTGATTGTTCGATGTTTAATCCACGACATAGTTAAGTAGTGTAAATATATATTTCGGTTGGAGAATTGCATGATCGGAAACACAGTACCTTTTCCAGAAAAATGAGCATAAATTTATGATTTATTATAAGATGCAACAGTTTCGGCAATAAGGAGATCATCAAGTTGTTCATGACTGCATAACTCATGTTATACTATTGCTTATTCCTTTTCCACAGAATTCACTGATTTACTTTCAAATGTGATTTTGTTTCAACAATGTATATTCCTTACAATTAAAATGAATGTTGATTGCTTTCAGTTTCCATATATAATTGTCCAATTTATACTTAGTTGTAACAGTTTCATTCGACATTTTGCAGGGATGTTTCTGAAAATTCCTTTACAAATGTGAACTTGACTAACGGCAATATATCTTCAAATCTGTGAGGAAAACTAACTTGTAGCATTTTGATTTACTACAAATCTGTACATGCAAGTGTAGTTATTCAGTGTAAACATGCATTCAGACGTATACCTACCTATATTCCTTTTTTTTGTTTATGGTTATGCTGTTCTGTACCTTTCACTAATGACATATGCTGATTTTGTCATGATTTCTTTCTTCCAGGAACTTGTTCGAATGCCGCTCTCAAGTAAGTACTGTTTAAATTCTAGCATGCTTGTTTTTCTGCTGAAGCAAGTCTTAGGAAGCAACCTTATTTCTTTCAGTATAGTGATACGAGATCGAAATGGCAACAAGCTGGCTACCACTGTGACAATGACACACAAATTTGTAAGATATTTTATTTACTAAAAAACTAGATTGGTACTTTCTGTACTTCCTGTTGTTTCCCGTGATTTTGCTGTGACTGATTTTTCCTACCTACATGGTCATTTGTCTGCAAAACCATCACATGCTAGTGATTTGTTGAGAATTCATTTTATGACAATGGATTCATTTTGTTGAGAGTTCATTTTATGAGAGTGGTAACGAGAAGTCTATCTTCCCATGTTGGCATAATCTTCTTGTTCTCTTCATCAGATTCTTTGAAACGATGATATTAACTGTTATGTGTATTACAGATGATCATTTGTACATTAATTGTGGGGGAAATGCAACATCAGTAGATGGCCATGATTTTGAAGCTGATACGCAATCAGATGGTGGATCAACTTTCTTTCTGAGTACAAATAAGACTTGGGCTTATAGTAGTATGGGAACGTTCCTGGATGCAGATGAAGATGAATTCATTCTAGATAAAACATGCAATATATCCAACACTGATGTATCTTTGTACTCAAATGCGCGCATAGCTCCAATATCGTTGAAATATTATGGATTTTGTTTGAAAAATGGCAGCTATACGGTTCAACTTCACTTTGCTGAAATAGGATGGGATACAAATGGATCTTCTACAATCGGGAAGAGGGTTTTTGATGTGGATGTTCAGGTAAATTACTAATTTGATCTAGATAAAGAACTTTTTAAGGAGAAATCAGAGATGTTAACTGGATCAATTATGACTACAGGGCGGCCAGTATTACCTGAGAGATTTTGATATACAAAAAGAGGCAGGAGATGTCAATAAGGTGATAACCAAGGAGTACAATGTATCTGTAACTAACTCAAGACTGGAGATTCATTTATATTGGACTGGGAAAGGTTCAACTTACAACCCAACAAAATACTATGGTCCCTCAATATCAGCTATTTCCGTGTATCCTGGTATAGTTCTTGTTCATTGACTAACCAGTAAGTCATGTTATATATAGCGTATATACTTTCTGTTATAGATTGTTGCAACAGTCCTGAATTTTTTTCCCACGAGCGTATACACCTAGAACTTTTGGTTGCACACTATTTTGTGTTCATATTAACTCTCTCCTAAATTTTTGTATCTTTTCTAGCTATAGATACAACATAACAGTATTTTGTGTTCATTTCTTCTTTCTGATGCAAGATCTAACGTTTCTAACAAACAGTATTGTTGTTTTGGTAGTACCTAGGCCAGAACCAGTTCCAGTTCCACCTCCACCTCCAGGGAAAAACAAATTTCCTCGCTCTGCTATTGCCGGGATAGTTGGATCTGCGCTGGTTTTTGGCATATTAATCTTGGCTCTATCCTGGGCATTAGTCAGGATTCGTCATAGAAAGCTCAAAGGTATACTCAGTTTGATGCATTGATATCCACAATGGTTTCCCTCGCTTCAAAAAATTTTCTTCCTTGTTATTACTCATATGTTGTTTTATTTATGAAAGGCTTGGAGCTACATCCCGGAGTGGTCTTCGACTACAAAAAATTAAAGGCTGCCACCAATGGTTTTGCTCCTGATAACAAGATAGATGGAGTCGGAAATGTCTACAAGGCATGTTTTATGTTTACACTAAACTCACTTGCGCATTTGAATTCTGTTAACTTTATCATTGATAGATTACTTGTATTACATAGGTAATCCCTACCCTCACGGCTTATGCTGAAAAGCGACCTTTTTTCAGCCTGCTCAGATTCACTAATATCAGCATTGTTCTTGTTCTAAATGATCGATTTTGAGAACTTGACTGAATCAGGGTGAACTCGATGGGATTCAAATAGCAGTCAAGCAGCTTTCAGCGAAGTCAGAAGAAGGGGCCCACGAATTTGTAACCGCAATTGGTACAATTTCTGCACTAAAACATCCAAATCTTGCAACGCTAATGGGATCCTGTACCGAGCAAAACCAACTCCTACTTGTCTACAAGTACATGGAAAAAGTCTCCCTTCAACATGCTTTATTTGGTAAAACAGGAGACTTTTTGTCAGGCAATTCCTTTAGAATACGAAGCCAAATAAATTGCATTATGTGATTTTGTTCAAATGGGCTTATTGCAGGTCCAGCAGAAGCCAAATTAGAACTAAACTGGGAAACAAGGGCTAAGATTTGCCTTGGGGTGGCAAAAGGTTTGGCTTGTCTTCACGAGTCCAAACTACAAGTCATACATTGCAACATCAAACCAACAAACATACTTCTTGACAAGGATTTTACCGTGAAGATATCCGACTTCGGATACTCCCAATTTCATGATTCTCGGCATGTTGATGCCCAGCCCAATAAAGGCAAAACTGCCCTTGGTAGTCATGATTCTCAGCATGTTGATGCCCCGCTTGTTAAAGACAAAACTGCTCTTGGTAGTTTGCCAAAACCAAAAATAACGTAATGAATCACATTTCTTTCAATTTAGTTTATCTTGTTGTAGACATTATACTTTCTCATCACAGAGCTTTGTTTGCAGGGGGCATATGGCACCTGAGCAGATACAAGGCATCCCCTTAACACCTAAAGCGGATGTTTATAGCTTTGGAATCATCACACTTGAAGTTGTTAGCGGACAGGAATTTTGCACATTGAGGTCAAAGGATTCAAATGACTACCTCCTGAATAAGGTGAGATAATAGAAAAGTAAAACAAGAGAGGAAGAGAAGAAGTGTTTTTTTTTTTTTTTTTTTTTTTTTTGCTTTTGTAGATTGTTAAAACAGACTGTTCTTTACAAGTGCAGGCTTATAAACACCAGGAGGAGGGGAATCTTATAGCTTTAGTTGATCCAGATCTGAAATCAAACTATAAACCCGATGAAGCACTTAGAATGCTATGTTTAGCAATGAAATGTGTGAACCAAAGCTTCGATCTCAGGCCTACCATGTCATCTGTGGTTAAAATTCTTGAAGGCAATGAGAAATTTGACATCAGCTCTGCCTCAAAACCTCGGTCTACTCATTCTGGGAGTACTTCTCATGGGGAAACTTCAAATACAACTATTTCTCCATCTACCGGCAATGAAATTGATGATTCTCAACGTCACTGATTAATGTTTTGGGATCAGAAACCATTGAGATGGAATATGGTATTGTTCTTTCACTATTTTGTGGATGCTTACAGATGCCCCTTTCTGTGTGTGAATATGTATTCTGCAAAAACATATTTTTGGTTTATGTATGGTGTATCAACTGCTATTTCAAATTTCAATGAGTTCCAAATTTCAAGAAAACATAATATCTTTTTCCATGACATGCTTGCTTTGGAAAGTGCAATTGCAAAATATAATGGATTTAGCGTTTCCTTTTTGATTCCATTGTAGTCAACAAGATGAAAAAGGAGAACAGTTAAACTTTTGCATGATATGAAATCAAATGTAGTATTTTGGTAAAATATATATATATATATATATATATATATATATATATATATATATATGCATGATGTGAATCTGATTTTTAGATGCATAGGAACTAGGGAAGGTACGATTGTTAACAGCACGATGAGGTGCTCTTGGTTCTCTTACAGGCTTAACATATATGGGTAAGTAAGAAACAGGCATAACATATAATTACACCATATTGTTGCATTTCTGAGTACATGAAACATTTTGATCATGTAAATTAACTCTTGTAATAGAACAAGAATAATACGTTGTTATACACCAAATCCGAAATGAGCAGATACAACCGGACCAACTTTCAGTTGCACGTGTGCAAGTCCACAGTTGACAACAGCAGAAGTTTTCAATCATGTAAAAATGCTTTTGTTTTATGATAGTGTCTGACCCAACAGATCCAATTGTTTATATAGTGATAATTTGTAGATGAACAATACCCAATTGTGAGTCGCAATCCTTCCTTCAATGGATCACTTTTGCTCAGAGTTTGCTCGCAGTCAAATGCATTCTATTCCTGACTTTGACTTAGGCGTAGTTGTTGCGTCGACTAATACTTTAAATGGAGATTGATCAGAGAGATGTTTTATCAACTAGAAAGAAAATGGGATCACTCAAATTTCAGTATCCAGTCGCATGCCATAATAAGTCTTCTGTTAAACCAATTCAAGTGCTCACGGTCAACAAATTTTTGCAGTATTTACTTGGATTCATCAGGTCCTCTATTACAGCAGAATCTGTGTCACTATTGCTTGTTTCAGACGTATTTTTTATTTTATTGAACCATGATTTAGATTTCCTCTCCATACAGCAAAGCAACACATGCAAAAATATGTTTGGTCTCTGTAAACAAGTGATTCTTGTAAGTCAAATTAAAAAATGTGGACCTTTCCCACCCCTCTCCTCATTTGGGATCTAGTATCAACCAAATTATCAACTACACACGGAGAATTGAAGTGTGTATTTGTATTACTTCATGTTCGTAGAAGAGTGAACAATTTCGATGTCTTTCTGTTGAAGTACTTTTATTCCTTTTTTCGTAGATTTAATAATAAAAATTATTGGCCACTAGAATAAGCTTAAAATCATTAAAAATTATAGTTAACGGCACATTTTATGGTTGTAATTGTCACGCTCCAAATCCGAGACAGAACACCGTCGTACCCTTGTGTCAAACCTACAAGATTCAAGGCACAAGCTAAACTAATATTTTCAAATCTATTAAAATATCAACATTGTCTACGATCAGGGCACCCTGATATGAGGGAGTGAAATTGCCCGCCTCAACTTTGCGAAAATCACAAAATAGACTTGAAAATTTTAAAAAATTTTAGGTTCCTCTCACAATTGCTTCCTGCCCCACCATTTTAAAAAATACCGTTGACATTGTCCTCCTATAATTTAAAAAATAGTCATCTCCAAACAATCAATTTCTTTTTTTCAAGCATCTCATTGGAATAAGTGTACAATCTTGCCCCACTAAGTTTAGGTAAGCACAACGAAGCACTTACCATGCTACATTTAACGATGCAGTGAGTGAGCTCAAGCTTGGATCTCAGGCCTACCACGTCTGGTGTTGTTACAGTTCTTGAAGGCCGGTAATTTCTGAGCCCGTAGCTACGTTCTCTAACGTGGACGGTTCAAATTCAACTATTTCTCCAGCTGCCAGCAAAGAAATTGATGATGCTACCACCTCCGCTAACTAATATTCCGGGATTAATTAAATCCATTGAGATTGGATATTGTACTGTCTTTTCACTATTTGGTGGATATTTTATTTACAAATGCGCCTTTATATATGTGAGTATGTAATTGCAAGACGGAAGTGACAATTTCAAGCGTGATGATTCCAAAGCTATAAACATCCGCTTTAGGTGTTAAGGGGATGCCTTGCATCTGCTCAGGTGCCATATGTCCCCTGCAGACAAATGCCTTGATTGGAAGATGATCGCGGTATCTGGAGTTTGCTTGCTGCATCGAGATCATCAATATGAGTAAGTTTTGAGTACTTGAGCGTGTGATCAAGTTGCCTTTCAGAACTTTGAATTACCACTGTGCTAAATCAAATAAACTGTACAGTGATTAATTTGCACTAGCTAGAGATGCGCGACTGAGCTCTGATATGTCCTCTAACTAGAACAGTAAACGATGATGATTTTACAAAAAAAAAAAAAAAAAAAAAATCTGTCAATCGTGTAAATGTGTTTTTAGTCTCAAAAAATCTGTCTCACCAACTGAGACCCTTCCACCAACTTAGTGGTATTGTATTGTATACTTGGAACAATTTTTCACGAGACCCATTGCGGGGAGGCGACTTCCAAGTCCAACTTTAGTTCGATCACTTTTAATAGCTGTCAAAGAAATAATTACTTTGAAATAATTGGGGATATATCATAAAATTGAGATAAATTACCTTGACCCTGAGGGTGTGTTTGGTTCCCACAGAATTAGAATTGGAGCACCAATTCCAAATCTTCGGTTTGGACGCTGTCAATGCGAGAGAATTAGAATTCAATTCGAATTCTATGGGCCATCAATTCCACAAATTCTCAATTCTTCGGTAAGACCTAAGAATTGCAATTCCAATTCCATAATTTCACCTCCTATTCGGGTTAGTACACAGATCTTAGGTGGATTAAATCAATAAAACGGGTCTCCATATAAGTAATCAACAAAAACAAAATTGAAAATGAAAGTCCTCTCGCTCTCTCTTGTCACAGACCAACCACCGTTTCTTTTGCAGCTCTCTCCACATCGTCCTTCTCGGCCTCCTCCCATACTTCCTCCTCTGCCTCCACCTATACTTCCATCGTTGACGCCTTGTCTCTCCTCTTACTCATCTTCCTCCTCTGCCTTTTTCCAGTAATAGGCTGCGATTTTATCATTTATTTTATTATTAATTTCCCCTATTACCTGATCCAATGTGGATTAATTATTAAATTCTACTCACTTTTCGTAATTTACATTTATTTCAGAGAGTAGAACAAAAATACCACAATCAAGGCCAATTTGATAGTCATCGGGCAAGAGTCCAAATAATAGAGCTTATCCCAGGGGCATTATTGGCAAAGGAAGACTTTTGCCCATTTTGGTAATTTCAAAAGAAAATAGCAGGAAATAGGGCTTCCTTTTCCTGATGTGGGCCGCCGCAGAGGAGCACTACCTTTGAGTGACTTTTGTGGACTTTTCAGTCATTAGCTTTTTGAGTAGCTTGAGGTCACAATGGGACACAGGGAAACAAATGAGTTATCCTCTTTAGTATTTATTTCCGCTATTCATTCGGTCAAAAGGGGAGCCTCGCAGGCAAGGACAATGGCCGCGGTTGTTGTTTCAATTTTGCGTAGGTTTCTCGTATCAGATATGAACTAATTTCTTCATTCTAATCAAGGAACAACGGAGGCTTTGATTCGCCTAAAAATTGTGAGGTCGATTTAATTTTATCTTTTTTTTTTATTTATTGGTATTCGCATATTCTTTGATTCCAGTACTTATGGTTATTTAATTAATTGATTGTCTTGGATCCGTGATAGGGTATAATTTGTTAGTAATTTTATTATTAATTTTCCCTTTTATCCCTGACAAATATTGTGTTAATTGCTGATATTTACTTATATTTGGTATTTGGAATCAATTTCAGGAGAAAAGCAGAAAATTACCAAATGATCCTACTAGCAATAGGAGACGAGTCAATTCGGCAGGGCCTATCCTTGGTAATTCATCTTCTCAATTCGGCAGGGACCACGGAGGAAAGAAAAGGGCTTTGGTCCTTTGGCTCTTAAGAGGAAAGCAACGTAGAAAGCCAAAGGAAACTAAGTAGAAATTTGGAGTCTTGTGCCAATTGGTGGGGACCGCGCAGAGGCTTACAATAAGGAGAAGAATTCGGCAGACTTGTGCCATTTGGTGGGGACCACTGGATGAGCCTTGGAGTGATCTTTCTTTTGGCTTAAAAAGGGAACACACGTACAGAAAAGATGCGGCTTCTAATCAATCTCTAGTCTTAGTCTTTGTAGTTGAGCTTTAGTTTTTCCCTCTCCGGACTGGCCTCTGACACACGCCAGGTGTTTGACAATATATCCCAATGGAAAAAACATCTGTCATCCTTTGCTTTTTATTAAAAATCGCAATGTTTATGCAATCTATCAATTCGTGTGCTGATTTAATTATGCGGCGTGGCTAATCCTTCCACCTAGTCAAGGGTCAACTCGACGGCGCAGTCTCGAAAATCTGTGAGATCTAATTAGTTTTCACGCGTTCCTTAATTAATTAATATTTGCACGTTGCCTGCTTGTATTTTCATGGGATTGTTTTATTAATTGGATGTCAAGGGCCCGATGTTCAATGTGATTGATTAATCTCGTGCCAATTTAGTCAATTAAATCCGTAATTGTTTGATTGATTAATATTAGTGGCAACTGGTGTGTTTACACATTAGGGGAACGTGCAATCTAATTTAAATAACCCTCGTAGTGTGTTATTGATTAGGGCTAAGTTTTTCTGGTTGTTAATGCAATTGGAAAATTAACTCCTACGGTCGTACCTAGGAGTACTTTTCTGGTTAGGGGTGATTAATGGTCGTACCTTGGTCACCTATAAATTAAGGAAAAATTGGTCATTAGAGTTTATCGATGACTTTAACTAGCCTATTAATAAATTAAGTGAACCTCACTTGCATCAATGATCAGATAAATGGACTGTGCCTGAGTAGTTGCATCCTTGGCTAGAATTTATTTATTCTTGATTTAATTCCTGCTATATTCGTGCTAGTTAATTATTTATTTTTAGTTGAATTGTTTAATTGATTTTAGTTTCATTCCGGTGAAATCCCCCCTTACCAATTGGAATTTAAGAGAGACAA